GTCGACTTGAGCCAAAATGGCTACGCGAAACATCTCTCTCTCTCTCTCTCTCTCTCGCTCTCTCCAGTCTTCTCCACATTCACAGCAGGCAGTGCCGCGAGTTTCCGCCCTAGCTTTTGGGCCCCTCGCATGGCAAATTGAGGACTCTCCCTCTCTCAGCCGCTTTCATTCGCAAGGGCTCTCTCTGGCTTTCTCCCTTCACTTAAAGGAAAAGTGTCCTTCCAAAGACCACAGACCACGAAAGACATCCGTTTCTGAAGCTTGAAGCTACGCGGCCTCTAGTTGCATTCGGGCGCGATCCTCTACATCTTCATTTGGGGCCCTCGTGTAGCCTTGGCCAGGTCGATCGCCAGCTTCCGCAGACTTGCCTTCCAGTCAGTAGCATCGGCGTGCAACCCTAGCGCCCTATTTCTGAGACTGCACATGACAGAAGATCACAGACGGCTTCTGATCCAATACCGTAACTTTGTTGAGTGTTTCGGGACAGGCCCCCATAACTGCACCAGAGCACTCGGAGATTCACCAAATCGGTTTGAAGGACCTGTCTTCCTCGATCCCAGTAGTTGAAGTTCAAGCTCGGACCTTCACAAGATGAATGCGACACGAGCTCGCACGATCGCAACAGCTGGAGCTGAGGCAAATACCAGTCGCACATGGGTTGGATACCAAGGGAGGAGACACAACCTTGGATCATCAGCAATCTGATGATGGAGTCTCTAAACAGCTGCAATCACATCAATGAATGGCCTCGTCTATGTACTCGTCGTCGTCGTCCTCCTCCTCCTCTTCCTCATCTTCGCCCTTTTCAAACATGTGTTCACTGGGTTGGGAAGGAACATGACCATGAGCTCGAAAGAAACATCCAAACTTCCAAACATGAAAAATGGAACCACTTCCTGCACAGCTGCCAATGCACGGGTAAGGAGTCATGGTTTCGTATGGGCCTTCGGCATGGCCTCCGTATCTGAGCTTGATACTCGCATTGCCTCGTGTGACAGCTGCCTTTGTTGCATGCTGCGCGACTTTGCAAATGAGGCCCAGGCCATCGATGCACATCCAGCGGACACCAAGATCACATGACGGAAGTGTACCCTCAAAATCTGAGAACAGCTGACGGCTTAGCCTTGCTCTTCAAACTGGTGCCCTCGACTTCAAGCGAGACCCAACCCAACCCTGCACAGAGTCAACTGTTGTGACTACTATGGGAGCTGCACGGCCGGAAGGGCAGAGAGGTGCTCGCGGCTCCCCGCGCTAAGATGCGCTAAGGTCATTTGGCGACAAAGACAAAGCTGTGAGTCTTTTTGCGGGTGCTTTGCCGGCTGAGTGTCCTGTTGTCATTGTCAAGCCTTAGGCCCAGAACGGGCCTCGGGCGGCAGAGCAGAAGGTAACTTCCCCTGCGCTGAAAGCTCCAAGCTCCAGGTTCTTTGAACCCCTTGGCCTCCAGTCCTGAGCTCCCTGAAGCACCGTCATCACCCTCCTAGGCAAGAACCTGAAGCATCTGGAGCACTCCATCGCCACCAGATGTCTCCACCAAGGCCTGCTGCGCCGCTCCTTCGGCGGCTCAGGTGGCCACCTGAAATTCCAAGCATGACACTTCGAGCAGTCAATTGCATCCCTGCCTGAATTGACGCTGTCTCTGCAAAACAAACGCGCAGTGGGCGGTGAAACGCTGCCTCCCGCTCATCCCAATTCATCACCCGAAACATGCGACAGCTCTCAGCCACTGCTCAAGCAGCAAAGGGACTAAGGCTAGGCTCACAAAGATACAAAGATGCGGAATCAAGCGAGCTGTTGCAAGCATGATGTGCCTCTGGATCAACCTGTGCCTCCCTCTGCTCTGGTGGGAACTCGTGAGACAAGTCGATTTCTGCTGACCTCGCACGTATGTGGTGTGCAAGTGGCTTTGCTTTTGGGCCCAGCCACCATGCACACATGTCTAACCACATTTGGGATAAATCTGTCGCTTTGGGCAAGTGTCAAACAAGATTTGGGCTGATCTGCTGATTTGAGCTACACCGACAGTCAACACCGGAGTAAATTTGCGGTTTCGTCTACACAGCCATATATGTCCCCCAAAACTGGGATCAATCCGCAGCTTTGAGAAACGCGCCAGCCAGGACATACACGCAACACGGGGCATGTCTATTGCTTCGGGCTCAACAACCATACATGTCAGACAAGATCAGACAAGGTTGGGGTAAATCTAAAGCTTCGGGGTAGCATGCCGATACACACCAGACACGACCGGCGTCCATCTCCTAGGGTCAACCTGCTGCATTGGGCAACATGCCCATGCATAGGCATCACATCACGCTGGGCTACACGACCTTACATCTCAAGCGCGTGCCAATGCTGCACAGTGATGACGGAACCTCCTTTACCAAAAACAGCTCTCACCTGGGGCGGACAGCCCCCTTTGGGCCCTCACCTGTCGTAGGTCACCGACTCTGGGACCCCACACTCTGCGCCCTCTGCAGCAAGGCGGCTTTTGGCATCAGACTGCACTTGAAACAGGTCAAACTGCACACCATGTCGCCTTCAAAAGCTCCGCATAGATGCCTTTCAAGAGCACCGCCAAATGCAAAACACGAAAACTAGCTCAATTCTTCGAACCTGCCACGGCTCCCAACAGGCTTTGCTGCTCCGTCTCCTGCAGGCCGACATCATCAGTTCACGAGTTTGCAGCGGTGGAGGGCTCCTTGGAAGTGGAGCCACCTCGGTTCCACATAGGCCTGTTGGCGATGCGAATTACACTCCAGCCCATGCTCATGGGAGTGGCACGGAGGCACGGAGTGGCGAAAAATATCGTAACGTGCAGTTCGTCCACCGATTTACCCTGTGCCTCCTTGGCACTTGAAGAGGGGTCGCCCAGCCTGCAGTGCGTTGCCCAAGAGTCGCTCGGCTGTCCCACTTCCTGGTTGGGTTTGTTCCAAGCCCTTCTCGCCTCCATTTGCAGACGGGGCCTTGCATGTAAGAACTGAGTCTTTGATCTCAGATCCTGATTCCCGCCTGGATAATCGATGCTCTGCAGGAAAGCGGTGAAGAGAAAGGAGAGCATGTCTGGAACGCTCTGCGCAGCGTCAGAGAAGGTTGTCATCACGCCAGTACCAGAAAGACCTAACCTGGCAGCTTCCCTTCTTTTCGACGTGCAGCGTCAAAGTCCGGCAGTGTTTGCCGTCAAAGTGCCACAGAGTCTTTGGTTCAAGCGGCAGATCATGACTGCGCTAACAAACATCTGGGGATGCAGACATCCAGGAAACTATCATTCCCAAAGGTCCGTCCTTCATTTCCGCACGGCCTCCTGCAAAGCACCCTCCGGGCATAGCACAACTGGCGGGCACAGCGCTGGGCCCGTCAGAGATCAGAAACTCGTTCTGACTGCACCTGCAAGTGGGGACAAGAATGCTGCCTTTGGAATGAATGCATCTGCAGATTGTCCTGTGCCTTTCCAGCGGGTATGGCACTGATGGCTGCGAGAACAACATCCTCGAAGGTAAACACATACTGAACGGCATAACAATCACACTGCGCGGAACGACATGCATGCTGTATAACTACGCTTCTCTTGCAGCAGAGCATTGCACAGCCTTCATGATCTCCAAGTTCTCTGCAGAGTCCCATGCCTGCATGGCTTGGCCCGGCTTGGCCCGGCCCGGCCCCCGACGCCCCCATTTCCGACCGGCGCGCCTTCAGCGGCCGCGCAGGCCTGGCGAAAAGGGGATCTCTCTCATCTCTGCAGCGCACTCTGCTTTGCCATAGGCTTTGCCAAAAAAGCACGCCAGGGGCCGCTGGCTCTGGCCGCGAACGAAAGCGGCGATCTGCGTTGCGAGGCTCAAGGCTGTAGAGATCCATTTCTCACCAGTGAGCAAACACCGGACAGAATGCCTGACCACGAGGTACAGACACCGACGGTGAATCCTTTCCGAACAGGAAAGAACCAGAAGTCTTGACTTCGCTTGCAAGCCAGAAGTTGGTAAAGTTGACTTGCACTGGGAATCAGGCTCGCGTCAGGACAGCAAAGAAAAGTCGCGCCCTCTGACGCAGCTGCTGCTGCTTTTTACCTGCTTTCCTGGCAGTCAAGAATAGAGGTTTATGTCGACAAGTGCCCCGTGGCTGCAGCTGAAAACACATCTGAGACAGGAACTTTGAAGCGCCTGCCTTTTGGCTGACAGGAACTTGAGCAGGAACCTGTTGGCCAAGGCATCGAACAGTTTGCAGCCGGAAGAGCTCATAAACCTGTGCTCCGCACTTTTCCGAGCAGCAGCAGCTGCTGGGCGAAGGCCTCAACATGTCCAATGGAGGTCTTGGATACACCTCCGACAACGACCTGGGAGGTATCTGGGCATTAGACACGGAACGACTCAACCGAAGCCCGCGAGGCTCCTCCCTCAGCTGCCAAGTTGGCAACCAGGAGGACCTGCGAACCACAAAGGCAAGGACCGCGAGGACACGACAACCTCTGCAGTGCTTTGGCGGGCCTCGTGCTTGTTGGCTAAGGGCTCCAAAAGGTCCAGTCTCGAGATCTCCATGGAAATCTGCAGGGCTTCTCCCAACTGGCAGAAAGGGCCATACGGCGAAAAGCAAAGGCTGGCTGGTCGTTGAACAAAGGTGTGCCCTAGTCGAGCCTCGTCAGGCACCAGTTGCTGCTTCAAGTGCCACAGCATGGTGCCCTGGCCAGCTGAAAGAGCGATGTCGCAACAAGACAAGAATCCAAGCAGGTCCTTGTCGCCAGGTTTGGCCAAGAGTTTCTGGATCCACTCTTTCTTTGAGGGCACCGGTTCCCCGCCCTGCAGCACGCCACAAAGAGAGACTTTGATATTAGTTTGAGTCCGTTTGCTGGTCGCTTCGTAAGCAGCAGACCTGCACGGCAATATGAGCCGGAGCCGTCTTTGGATCAATATACTTCTCGGCATATGTCCTGTCCTGCTGTTGGTACAAGTACCCCACGGCTCGCTTTGTGCGCTCGATCAACATCCGCCTCGAGCATGTCCACTATGCCACAAGTCACCTGCCGCCATGCAACAGCGAACAACACAAAAACTAAGAACACGAAATGCGGACACGTCTTGAATCGAAGCCACCTTTGACCAACGCAGATCCTTGCACACCTCGCGTGTTCCGCAGAATCCGCTCTGGTGACACGTGAAATCTGCGAATGTTGGAACTTGCATTCGTCGAAAATGCTCCTCACCTCATGGAAACCCGCGACAATAGCTCCCTGTCCCGAGTCACAACCACAGGCTCTGCAGCAAAACAGCTGACTCCATGGAACACTGCAAAAGCCTTGTAGGCATGGTGCGACACGAGGTTTCGCTCGTGGAACAACAGAAACACGAGATGGTTGTCCTTCGTGGATCACATGTACCCCATGTCTTCACCAGTTGCAGCAGGATTTCGTATGACTAAGGAGAAAGCCCTGTACAGATCATCCAGAGTAGAACACTCGTCACACTCCTGACCTGTACACGAGCTGATAGCACTCTGACTTCCCGCAATAACTACCTTGGCTCCGGACGGGTAACTCGCACGATGTTTGTGCGGCGAGCCTGCAGTTCGCTTGTAAACACCTAGCCGAACATGTCGCAAACCTCACTGTCCTGGCCTCCCACGGCACGTCTAATATGCTCCGTGCAACAACACGCAGCTGCAGCACAGACCTTTGCAAAAAGACATGATGCACCGTCCATCAGAAAAGCGTACTTGGCAGCAGCGAAGGCTGCGGGAGAGGCCCGAGCAGAATCACAAGCAGGGTGCACTGGGTGCACACCATATCGGAGCTTGAGCTAGCTAGCGCTGCTGCATATGTGCTTAAGTGCGAACACCATGGTAGAGTGTGCATCCGTTCTCCTTTTGCAACATATGGTCATGCACAACACTACACCATGGGAATCGATCAAGCTTGAACCTCGTGCTTCAACTCGGGCTTGCACTGTACACAAAGTGAAATCGAGCGTAGCGGCTTTGCAATCATGCTTGTGACAGAGATAAAGTCACTGCGTTGTGGGGGCGCACTTCCTGGCTGGCGTAGATGGCATCTGCACGCCCGTCACCCTCAACGCGTGGAAGCAGTACGCTCCCAACATGCAGGATATCTCGATGCTGGTGATTGAAAACCTGATGTAAAGGTCAAACCTAGAAGACACTGCACTGAGAGCGGCACACATCAGGATCCACAAGATCCTGGACAATCGGTATCTGCATTGCTTGCATATTGACACTCGAGAAAGCTTTGATTAGATTGGGTGTCGCCTGCTTCGGTACTAACAAAGGATGCGGAGACAAACGCGAACGCCGAGATGTCGGGTTTACCTGAATGGAGTCATGCATGTCGCGAGGTGGAAGTCGTGGAAGTGTTGCACAGCACGAAAATGCCTGCCTGGTTGGAATGCTCGTTGGGAACGTCGAAATGCCAATCAGTGTCCTGCGCGCTGGGAGACTGTCGAATCCAATAAACTCTAAGCACTGGTCGCCTGTGACACCGTAAGCGCTGTCTCTGGCCTTTCACACGGCACCTCGACCCAGAGACGAGTATCTATCCATATATATATATATATAAATAATATGTTATATATATACTACATATATATATACATGTATATATAACATATCATATCATATATATATATATATCATGCGGCGACGGATGGGTGCATTTTTGCTGAGGCCGAGACTTGGGCATTCGCAAAGGCCATGTTCATGGCACTAAGATACGGCATACAGTCAACGTATTACCAGACAATAATAAGCCCATCCATAAGCGGTATTTCGAACAGACATTGTTCCTCTCGGTCATCACCTAAACTTGTTTATCAGCTCGGGATATGCCTCATTGTGTCGAAACAAAATGCTATCTGCTGAGCAGCCTACCACATGCACTGTGGGTGTATGTTTCAAACAAGTTCAATATTGTTGTCGTAGTCGTAGTGCTGGCTTGAAAGTAACCCGGCGGCTCGGTGCTTGCAACAACACCAACGACAGCTAGTAACAATACCGGACCAGCGGTCGCGTTAGCAATTACAGGGGCTGCTCTTTTTTTCGACCCC